AGATGGCACGCAGTACGGGAAAGGAGGAAAGGATAGTGCGGGGTACAGAAGATGGGGGAAAGAAACTGTGGGTGGGACGAGCTGGGGATATGCACTCTGCTTTTTCAGATTTATCAGCTTTATTGTTGTTAATTAATAACCAAAATAATAATAATAATATTATTAATAATAATAATAATAATAATAATAATAATAATAATAATAATAATAATAATAATAATAATAATAATAATAATAATAATAATAATAATAATAATCATTCCATGCAACATGGCTCGGCAGGAAATTTGTCTGACACGAAGTTAGAGATGTTGGACCAGGTTAACAGTGGGAGAGAGACGAGAGTGCAGAGTTATCGTCATCGGGAAGATTTAAGATTCACTTAGCAGGGTCACACAAGTATTATAATTATATAGGTGCTGGTGTCGTCTTTCCATCTTGAGAATGATGCCTTGTCTGTGGTATGGTTAACCTGCTGGGAAGTGTTCTATATAGCCATAGTATGGTCAGTTGAGGGTTAATGACTTGGTTAACGTACTGTTAAGTTGATATGGTAATGACTTGGTTAAAGTACTAGGGAGGTGCTCGATGCGTAAGGTGAACATGTGGTTCAATTAATTTAATAGTTGGGTGCTTAACGAGTTGGGGAGGTGTTCAGTTAATATTGTATTGGCAAGGTTTTAACAGCAGTCGTTAGTGAATGTCAGCACTCGTGCACACGCTAGTTCCATTAGTCTGATCACATCCGCACAAATATTTAGCCAAATCGCAATGATATTGTTCCATAGTCTGAAACAATATTGTTTCAGACTATGGAACAATACTCTTCTCCAGACTGAGGGACTGACCACCTCAAAACTTCAAGGGTGATGGACTGATTACATCGTCTTCAAGTCTCTTCTGCTTCTATCAACTTTCCTGTACTCGACTGAAGAAGCCTACTGTGTAGGCGAAACGTTTCGAAATAAAGATACCTAACTGTTGCATATGTGTCTTACCTAACAACCTGTCGGTATTTTATACCATTTTAACGTTCACAATGACGTATATTAATGTAGTGATTCCCAGAACAACATTGTTAAGAAAACATGACTCACGAAATAGTAATGACACGATTGCAAACAAACCATACCGCGGGCGGGATTTGAACCCGCGGTCAGAGAGTCTCAAAACTCCAGACCGTCGCGTTAGCCACTGGACCAGCTAGCCACAATAAGATTCGTCCAACTAGGTATATTTCTACACCATAGGAAGGTTAGCATAGGCACCACTGGTCCAGTGGCTAACGCGACGGTCTGGAGTTTTGAGACTCTCTGACCCCGGGTTCAAATCCCTCCCGTGGTATGGTTTGTTAAGAAAAGTTCTTTCCATTGAGGTTTTCAAGACAAAGTTGCTAAGTTGGAAAGTTACTGTATGTAAACTACAAGCATGGAGGCTACACAATCTATGTTTGCGTGCCATAAACACTGACCAGTGAACAGTGATAAACCAATCGGAACCCAAAAAAAAAAACAAAAATAATAATAGATAAGAGATCTTTGCATTTTTTAACGGGTGTTACAATTTCTGTTTATATATTTTTTCTTGGTAGATACATGATCCTCACATAATCTAAATAACTAAAAAATACATTTAAAAATATTAATTTTAGGACTTTACTTAGGATAATGAAAGATAAGCTTAACATAACCAGTCTATTTAAAAGATTATATTTTGCCCCGAGTGGTTAGAATACCGAGTCTGAGCGAACATATTCCTTTCAAACGTCATTCCGATTTTTCCCACTGAATACAACTAGCTTTGTTTACAGCGCCGGTGCATCAAACTGCCCGACATTACCTTTATGAGCTGTAACCTGATTATTATTTGTCAACTATTCCTAAATAAAAATTGCTAAAATAACTAGAATTTAATTTCGTTGATACCAGTTCCATCTTGAGCTGATGCTGCAGTTAGTTTCATCCTTGGCCGATGGCATCATCAGCTCTGATCGCCATAGTCATTTTCGCCATTGGTTGTTGCCACAGTCAGGTAAACCTCTGTGCTTGACTATGTTTTTCATGTGTAGTGCCATTACAAACAAATGTTAAGTAGTATCAGTAACAAGCAAAACACACGAGATGTAACATGTCTTGATAAGTCAGTGTGGCACTACAGTGGCAATGCCACTATATCTCAAACGTGGCATGACTAGAGATCCAGCCTGTTATCACCCTCCTAGTGGCACCATCATGGCACCACTGGCACCATCACTCCAGCATACTATTCAGGCTCCACCGTGACACCACCGAGCCTGCGTCATGAACGGTGATGTAAAGTGCATGTGCCTCATGAACGCTGACATGAGATGCATCTGCTCCATGTACGATGATGTAAGGTGCTCCTGCGTCATGCACGGTGAGGCGAGGTGCGTCTGCGTCATGTACAGGGATGCAATATATCTCACTAAAACATCACATCAACTCGTAAACTTGTTACATTGTTGCCACTCTCCGTCAGTCTCATCATCCGACTCGCTCAAGTTAGGATGCTGTTACGAGATTGTCTCCTTGATTCGTCGCTACGTTTGACGCTGTTCGCGGGAATCACGCAGTTAAGAACAAAGTTAGCAACACGAGTAAACGTTTGTTAAGGGAGGCATCATTTTCAGGGACAATATTCGTTAATCATGGATAATGTTGTCGGAATTTGCAAAATAAATTAATCGTTTTTTTCTTTAAATTTCATATATCTCACCCCATTTCACTGGTTCAATAGCCACCGTTTTATACAAGTGTAGAAGTGACGTTTAGGAAACAAATTATATTTCTCAAGTCTTCATCACTTACGGCGCAAGTCGAAGAACAACTTTTACTAACAGTTTTTCACTCTAACCATGTTAGGTTAGATGATAAATGGTTTAGAAAACAGACGAGTTGAAGAATTAGACACTTGTCTTCCCTTTTTTTCCATCGTTTTTCGTATTGGATTGATGAAGTTACTGTGTGGCGAAACGTTTCCTCAATATACCCAAGTGTTGCACAAGTGTCTCATTGTTCATGTTTCCCTACACTTGCCACCCTGTTCACCTAGTAGTAAGTAGGTACCTGGGTGTTAGTCGAGTGCTGTGAGTGGCATCCTTGGGGATGGCTGTGTACATTAAATAGGGCTTTTCTTTCAAATGAACTGAGGTAGGACAGCAGCTCTTAGCCTGTAAAACAGATGTGTAAAACATAAGTTCTATACAGAGCGAAACGTTGACCTAACTGAAGCTTGTGCTGCATCTTGTGTCTTCATAAATGTCGCCACTTCCGCTACTAATCATCAACTATTTGTTGCATGGTAAATTACAATGCTGGAGTTGGGTGTTTATCTTCTTCTTGATTCTCCTTTCCTTGAGTTGCAAGACCAACCTGTTCGTATTAAAATCTGTTGATGCACATATTCAGTCACACGTATTTTGCTGTTCTGAAAGCACATTGTGTAATGTAAAACTTAAATATTCACATGCAAGAAATAATATTCACGTTGACTACACAACTAAAATATCTGGCTAATTTATTTATATTTACCCATGGCTTTTTTATTATTTTTTATTAATACCAATAGTAGAAATAAGAAAATATTTAAGTACACCATCTTTCACTAAGATACTCTGAAATTAAAATGACATATATGCACACTAGAGGGCAGATTAGTGATCTAGTAAGCTTTTGAATAAATCATTAGGTTAGAGAAATAAATAGGATTTTAGCTAAGGATGTGATGCACTATCTATATATATAACAAGCTGAATATAAACGTTTTGTCATCCAGACGAAAAACAGAAATGCTGGATAGTTATGAGGCAGAATTCTAATGCAATGCTGCTAGCCTGAGAGAGCCTTCACATCCAGCTGACCGGGATTGCACTGCACTTAATTCATCCTCCTCCCTGTATTACTCTCTCTCTCTTCTCTCTCTTTTCTTTCTCATTCTCTAATTATTATGGTGTTGATGAATTTCTGGCGTATTGCAGATTGAAAAATGCATTTTCAATTGCACTCTCTATTTTCACCTATTTGAAATAACCTGCTATGATAGATCTGTGCATAAATTTGTATTTTTATGGCCTACTCTAAAATGTGTATGAAATGTAAAGTGCGTGTTTTGTGTCGGTAATGTTCGGGCAACGAGATGTCTCATGATAGCACCGATAATTATAATAACTGTGAAAGAGATCCATGGTAAACTTGCCTGTTTGAATGGAAGTTTTATTAGGGAGTGTTTCCTTAAGACACCTGCTGTCCCTGTTCACCTAACAGTAAATAGGTACCTGGGTGTTAGCCGACTGGTGTGGGGGGCATCATGGGGACAAAATTACACTAATTTGTCTAAAATGTTTTGAATAACCATAGGTATTATTATTATTATTATTATTATTATTATTATTATTATTATTATTATCATTATTATTATATTATTATTTACTATGTGTGATTTTCGCTCATGGTGAGCGAAGATCACACATGACGCTCTAACCCACTGGACCACGCAATCCTACAAGAATCAATCACCCAGCAGAGCTAGGTGTTTTACCTTGATTAGCCTCAGGGCTAATTTCATTCTACTCCTCGTTTGGTGTAGTAGCCTCCACGAGCAGTTTTCTAAATGAAAAAAATATATATCTTTAGACGTATAAGAGAATTTGTTCAGAAAGGACTTAATTTTAAATGAGTTCTTTCTAACTGACCAATTTTACACACACACACACACACACACACACACACACACACACACACACACACACACACACACACACACAATATATATATATATATATATATATATATATATATATATATATTATATATTATATATATATATATATATACATGGCTATTTGGTCCAAGGTTTTAGAGCAGTGTTTATTGCAATGAGGTAAACTCTTCTAGTTTTCGAGACTCACAATGAATTATGACACCACTCTAGGGGATTGAAATTTAATATAAAACTAGCACATTATGCTTTATTGGTTTCAGTCGTGGGAGGCATCATCGTATCCAGCACGACTCAGTCAGATAACAGGGCCCTCCAAGAGGGAACCAACGTGGCCACTGGCCACCACGACCTAACCAGAGACAACCACGACCTGGCCACCGGCCGCCACCACCGAAGACACCAGATGAAGCAGCAGCAGCAACAGCAGCAGCAGCAGCAGTTTCCCCTGGCTCTCCCTGTACAATCATCACAGACGAGCCTCAGCAGTGGTGTCATGCTGAACAACACCATCAACGGTGCAACTCCTCACTTCCTCACTCCCCTGGTTAACGAACTCACCACCAGGGCTGGACAGGCAGCGGTCCTCACCTGCATCGTTAAGCAGCTGGGTAACAGACAGGTGGGTGGTGTGTACTGTCCAGCAGCTGGGCAGCAGACAAGAGTACTGCCCTAGGTTGGGCATCACATAGGTGGGTTCAGTGAACCGTCCAGCAGTAAGCAGGTTGATAATGTGTACTAGCCAGCGAGAAGTAAATATATGGAGGTACCTACCAGTAGAAGACAGTTGAATATAGTTGTGTATATTCTTAGATAGGTTAGATAAAATAAATTTGGCAAGGTTAGGTAAGACTAAGATAGGTAACGTATTAACTATTGCAGTTGTGATATTTACATAGCACCATGACCACGTAGGTTCCTCAACACTCGTAGCTATAAAATAAATTATAAGAATAAACGTAAAGATAAAATTAACAAACAATAAACGGTATGAACAAAAATAAAACGCTTACAAAGTTAAAATAATCATCATCGATTAAAAAGCCTGTTAAATTTATACGTCACTTGACTCCCCTAAAAGTCTCCCCGAGATCCCTACAGGCATCCCGGTAATTATAAGAGAACATGCAAAAAGAAAAGCCTAAGCCGTATACGGAGTTTTAAAAAATATTTCGCAGTTAATGACACGTCACAAATTCCACAATGGGGTGGCAGGAGCATCCACAAACACTTAGCTACTGTTGAGATAACCAGCTGAAAGCAAACCAAACACTCAAGTTCTAATGAACCCTATATAACACTGCTCCTAGTCTGTAGGGCCCACCAGACCCATCACTTCACAAGGACATATCCCAAGGATAAATCTGTGGCTACGGCCCATGAAGTCACTGCAAGATAATAGTCTAGTGTGGAGTGGGCTCGCTACAGCAGCCACTGACTCAGCATCCACCCGTTCATTTCCTGAGACACCAACATGGCCCGTGGATTACCGGAACTCGACATTCTTGTGCCGCACCTGGAGAGGAGATAATCACTTCAGGATCTTCTGGAAGACAGGATGGACAGAAGTTTACTGGACCAGGGCAGACAGTCAACTGAGAATTTGAGTGCAAAGTGGGCAGAGAAGCAACTAAGCCAGCTATCAAGACAAGAACACAGGGGACTATTGATAGATGTGCATAATAAAGAGTCCTTAACGACAACCATGACAAAGTCAGCACAACACTCGCTCTTAGACTTCTCAGGTTAGGTAATGTTACTTTGGTTCGTTCTTCAGGTGGTCTGAAACGCTGTTAAAAAGCACTTAGTCTCGTGATGAGAAAAATGCAATAGACAAATAATTTTTATACAAGAGGTTATTTCATGATATATACACCGGCAGGTGTATTCCCTATCTCCGTGTGTTTACACGGATTTTTTAATCGTACGACGAGGACACATGTGCAAAAATAAGAAGCTGTCTGAGAAACGTTTCGTTCATCAGGAGCTTTATCCGTCTGATGGGCGAAATGTCTTTCAAATAAACATTTTTTCTTAGTGTATACATATATACACAGACAATTAGTATGTGTATAAAGTCAGAAAAACAACTCTGTGTTAAAAGAAAGATGCCTAAGTGTACATACACAAACACACCTAAGTGTATATGCACAAACACACAACACACCTCGGTGTGTATATTTGTGCACACACCGCACATCTTGGTGTATATAGATTACTGAGTGATATATAGATAATTCCTACGAAACATGACAAGTCGTTCTCAACTTCGCTCTTTCCGGGCTTCTGGTTAGGTATGATCTACTTTAATTCGAAATTATTATGGTAATGTCTAAAGTGTTAAAAATACATAGTTTTTTGATAGCAATAAATCAGTTGACAAATGAATTTCTCTTCCCAAGGTTTTTCTTTTTTAATATTCGGTGGATATGTATTCCCTAATACTCCGTGTTTGTTTATTGCAGATATTTTATCGTTAGCGACAAACATGTGCAAAAATAAGATGTAGCATGTCTGAGAACGTTTATTGTGTCGGTTCATCAGAGGCTTTCCGTACTGATAGGGCGATGACCTTCTCATCGGACTTTTTCTAGTGAGTGTATCATATACACATCCTGACATTCACTATGTGTACAGCAGAAACCACGTGCTGGTTTATCATGCCTAGGTAACACTCAGCCCCACATCGCCTCATGGTATCAACACCTTAGTCACCTCTGACAACCTACTGTGTGTAGTATTTGGTACAACCTACCGCCATCTTGGTGATATAATATACGTTGTGAGTACATCTCTTAGTATAACATTTCTGGTTGATAGCAGTCTCGGTTAACTTCTGTTCTAGGCAGTTTCTTGTACGCCTCTATTTAAGGTCAGTTCCTAGTAAATATTGTAGTCATTTTGGTAAAACTATGTTTTAGGTTATCTCTATTTGTGTACAAAACTACATTATTTTCTTTACTATACTTATATCAGGTGTTGCCGACAATGAGTGTAGTCTCCTCTTCCCTTTTTAAGGTAGTTTTTTTTTAAATTTACGTTGATAGTCGATTCCCGAAACTTAATTTTAGGTCGTCTTTGGACAATATGTTGTATGGTCAGCCCTCTGGTACAACCATGGTGATAAGTTCAGTCCTCGTACACCACGTTGTAGGTGATGTTCTGGTGCACTTGTTCGTGGATCAGTCGTCCTGTACCTTACTGTATGAGTAGGGCGGTACCTCTCTATCGAACCTTCGTGTAGGTCAGTCCCTCCGACTCCTGACTGTTGTCAGTCAGTCCTCCTGCACCCCGTTGTAGGTCTCTCCTCCATGGTACAACACTGAGCCATCCCTCCTGTACAACCTTACTGTTGTAGGTCAGTCCCTCCTAGTACAACCTTACTGTTGTAGGTCAGTCCCTCCTGGTACAACCTTACTGTTGTAGGTCAGTCCCTCTTGGTACAACCTTACTGTTGTAGGTCAGTCCCTCCTTGTACAACCTTACTGATGTAGGTCATCTCCTTGGTACAACCTTACTGTTGTAGGTCAGTCCCTCCTGTACAACCTTACTGTTGTAGGTCAGTCCTCCTTGGTACAACCTTACTGTTGTAGGTCAGTCCTCCTTGTACAACCTTACTGTTGTAGGTCAGTCCTTCCTTGTACAACCTTACTGTTGTAGGTCAGTCCCTCCTTGTAAACCTTACTGTTGTAGGTCATCCCTCCTGTACAACCTTACTGTTGTAGGTCAGTCTCTCTTGGTACAACCTTACTGTTGTAGGTCAGTCTCTCTTAGTACAACCTTACTGTTGTAGGTCAGTCCCTCCTGGTACAACCTTACTGTTGTAGGTCAGTCCTTCTGGTACAACCTTACTGTTGTAGGTCAGTCTCTCTTGGTACAACCTTACTGTTGTAGGTCAGTCTCTCCTGGTACAACCTTACCGTTGTAGGTCAGTCCTTCCTGGTACAACCTTACTGTTGTAGGTCAGTCTCTCTCTGTACAACCTTACGTTGTAGGTCAGTCCCTCCTTGTACAACCTTACTGTTGTAGGTCAGTCCCTTCTGGTACAACCTTACTGTTGTAGGTCAGTCCCTCCTTGTACAACCTTACTGTTGTAGGTCAGTCCCTCCTTGTACAACCTTACTGTTGTAGGTCAGTCCCTCCTTGTACAACCTTACTGTTGTAGGTCAGTCCCTCCTGTACAACCTTACTGTTGTATGTTGCTTTCTCTCACTAGAGTATGTTGCCTTTTCTTACTCGAGTTTTTGACCACTTGCTTGCCATTGCAACAAGTATATTTCTTTGCAACTGAAATCTCCAGCAACGCTGTTTATTCATGGTCATTTTTCAACAACTTTTCTAGAATGCTGAAGCTGAAGAAGTAAATCCTAACTTCCCTGTGCCTAATCTATGTCTTGGTTCTTCATCTCCATTATTATGCTACAGTTCCTGTTATGTTGAACGATTGTGTGAACCTCCCTACCAATCCTATGAAAAATCTTTTATGTGGTATTCGTGTCTTTTATGTAGTAATCATATATTCTATGTAGTAATCGTGTCTTCTATGTAGTAATCATGTCTTCTATGTAGTAATCGTGTCTTCTATGTAGTAATCGTGTCTTCTATGTAGTAATCATGTCTTCCATGTAGTAATCGTGTCTTCTATTTAGTAATCATGTATTCCATGTAGTAATCATACTCTGAGGTCACTAAATACAGTTTCATTAGTATCTTCTTGAATATCTGTATCGTTTTTCTGGGATATTCACTTGAGAAAGTGATCCCCAGACGCCTAGAACCACAGGCAAGGATATACGTAGCCATTCGACTAGTCTGAACATTGTATCTTCTTGAAGAGTATATACGTATTGTACTTGTAGGACTCTCGGGAAACATTCACGATAGTCAGCTTATGCTTTACTCTTCAAAGGGGTTATAAATGTTGCACGATGTAATATCTATTTATGTATGTATTTATGTATTTATCTATTCTTGTGTGTTGGTTTGCGTTATCTTTTTACCGTTGATTGTTAGTTGCATTGTGTAGTAGCATGTGTATAAACCTTTTTATTGACAAAAGTGTTTAAAGGCTTCGCAGCTTTACGGCCATTTTAATTATTATTTTTTTTTCTCAGCTCCAGGAAGAGATGTTTTAAGAATCTCTGGACTTTCTGAGTAGCATGCAATATACGGTTGTTTGCTAAGCTAGTGAGCGACAGTATGGAAATCCATAAGGGGATCAGATAACACAACTCTGTATTGAAAGATTAAAGTGTTGTTTATTTGTATATCTTTGGAATGCATGCAACCGATTCACCTCCTGTGGGCGGTAGTCCAAAGCCTGGGCACGTGAACAGCATCACTGGATACCTCACCACCTCCATCTCTCAATACACGATACGTGAGCAGCAAGACAACACACCACACCCTCACAGCCTCCATTACAAAATACGTGATGCGTGTGAGGCTTCCTGAAACCCACACTACCACCCACTACTTAGTATATGTGTACGGCAGTATATAGATAGCACACAACTCTTCCTGCCCCATAAAGTAATGTATGCACAGCCTCACCAGGCACACCACACAACCTCTCCCCTCACAATACAGTGGACCCCCGCTTAACGATCACCTCCAAATGCGACCAATTATGTAAGTGTATTTATGTAAGTGCGTATGTACGTGTATGTTTGGGGGTCTGAAATGGACTAATCTACTTCACAATATTCCTTATGGGAAAAAATTCGGTCAGTACTGGCACCTGAACATACTTCTGGAATGAAAAAAGTTCGTTAACCGGGGGTCCACTGTACATAGGTACGCATCATCACCGGACACATCACCTACCTCCTCACGACACATAACACTTAGGAAGTATCACTGGACACAACGCCTACACCCTCCAAAACATGAAAGACTGATTAGAGACAGGACTAGAAGAAGTTAATACGTAATACTACAATGTAAATATATATATAAATATATAAATTTATATATATATATATATATATATATTTTTTTTTTTTTTTTCAACAAGTCGGCCGTCTCCCACACACACACATATTATATATATATATATATAGGGGGTGGTAGGAGAAGAAAATATTCAAACAGCTCCGGGGAGAACCTTGAGTTTTCCCTGAGGTACGTTTATTGTCTTCTCTGAGGATGAGGGTCCCCATTCCAGCTATAGAGGTGGTACTTCCCTATAATTTATATATATATATTATATATATATATATATATATATATATATATATATATATATATATATATATATTATATATATATATGAATGTGTGTGTGTTTATATTTACATAACCAATTACTTAAGTTGATTAGAATAAATAAAGTTAACTGATGTGATACTGAAACAAAAATATACTGAACAGCTCCTGATCAGAGAAAATTAATGCGATTTTTTTACCAACACGTTAAGTTTCACTAAAATACTAGACTATCCTGGGCACCGCATAGACTCAGTTAACAGAGACGAACTAAAATAGATTGAAAAAAAAAATGTTGCAATAGATTATTTTCTGGTTAGTTTGGTTAAATAGATTTAAAACTTATTGATACAGAATATTGATTTGTATACAACGAACTTTATTTAATTCATCAAGAAATTAAAGCAAGCTCTTCATTTATTTACACAAAGATACACATCTCTTGGTGTATATAAAGATATTTATTACCTCTGTGTATATACAGATATCTATTTTCTCTGTGTATATACAGATAGTCATCCCCTCTGTGTGTATAAAGATAGTCACTTCCTCTGTGTATATACACACTTTCAGGTGCATGTACAGTGATACATACACCTCCCTGAGCATGCATCCAGCGTCCTCTGGTCTAAACTTAGGGTTGAACGTGGAAAAAGCAACATGAGTGCCGGTGTGGACGAGATCAAGCGTTTCACTGCTCGCTAGTAAGCCAATTAAGCTTCCATTTATGGTTATTTCGACTTTCAATTGGCTCACGACACACCAGCAATGGAAGCTTTTGTCACTGCTGGTAACTGTTTTCTGATTGTGTTTGCGAGTTTTTTTTTCACTTCACTGTACCCTTAATTGATATATTTGACACAAACAAAATCGTAAATTATTTAAACATATGTTGATATTTTACAATGAGGAATTCGTCTTTGTTAGATCACAAAGGAAACAGAGAAATTCACTTGATTTAGCGACTTAGCGAGGATGGCTCTTTACTCTTCGTTAAGTACACAATGCCTTCGCTAATCTGCCAAATAATGCTTTAGGAAAAAATACAGCGGATAACACAGTAGATAGTTGCATGGATGTAATCAGCTGATTATTCTGTGATGTGTCTTGGTATGTCCGGGCACTGCACGGGATGTTTGGGCACTACAAGCGATGTCTGGACACTACATGGTATGTTTGGGCACTACAAGGGATATTAAGGCACTACGTGGGATGTTAGGGCACTACGAGGGATGTTAGGGCACTATAAGGGATGTTAGGGCACTATAAGGGATGTTAGGGCACTAAAGGGATGTTAGGGCACTACAAGGTACCTTTGGGGACTGCAAGGGATGTTAGGGCACTATAAGGGATGTTAGGGCACTACAAGGGATGTTAGGGCACTACAAGGGATGTTAGGGCACTATAAGGGATGTTAGGGCACTACAATGGATGTTAGGGCACTACAAGGATGTTAGGGCACTCAAAGGATGTTAGGCACTATAAGGATGTTAGGGCACTACAAGGGATGTTAGGGCACTATAAGGGATGTTAGGGCACTATAAGGGATGTTAGGGCACTACAATGGATGTTAGGGCACTACAAGGGATGTTAGGGCACTATAAGGGATGTTAGGGCACTATAAGGGATGTTAGAGCACTACAAGGGATGTTAGGGCACTACAAGGTACCTTTGGGGACTGCAAGGGATGTTAGGGCACTATAAGGGATGCTAGGGCACTACAAGGGATGTTAGGGCACTACAAAGGATGTTAGGGCACTACAAGGGATGTTAGGGCACTACAAGGGATGTTAGGGCATTACAAAGTACCTTTGGGGACTGCAAAGGATGTTAGGACCCTATAAGGGATGTTAGGGCACTACAAGGGATGTTAGGGCACTACAAGGTACCTTTGGGGACTGCAAGGCATGTTAGGGCACTTAAGAGATGTTAGGGCACTACAAGGGATGTTAGGGCACTACAAGGGATGTTAGGGCATTACAAAGTACCTTTGGGGACTGCAAAGGATGTTAGGACCCTATAAGGGATGTTAGGGCACTACAAGGGATGTTAGGGCACTACAAGGTATCTTTGGGGACTGCAAGGGATGCTAGGGCACTATAAGGATGTTTGGGTACTGCAAGGAATGTTTGGGCCCTACAGAGGATGTTTGGGCACTACAAGGTATGTTAGGGCACTACAACGGATGTCTGGGCACTACAAGGAATGTTAAAGGCACCTACAAGGGACTATGGGCACTACAATGGATGTTAGGGCACTACAACGGATGCTAGGGCACTTCAAGAGATGTTAGAGACTACAAGGAATGTTAGGGCACTACGAGAAATCTTAGGGCACTACGAGGAATCTTAGGGCACTACAAGGAATCTCAGGGCACTACAAAGAATCTTAGGACGCTACAAGGAATCTTAGGGCACTATAAAGAATCTTAGAGCACTACAAGGAATCTTAGGACGCTACAAGGAATCTCAGGGCACTACAAAGAATCTTAGGACGCTACAAGGAATCTTAGGGCGCTACAAGGAATCTTAGGACGCTACAAGGAATCTTAGGACGCTACAAGGAATCTTAGGGCGCTACAAGAAATCTTAGAGCACTACAAGGAATCTTAGAGCACTACAAGGAATCTTAGGACGCTACAAGAAATCTTAGGGCACTACAAAGAATCTTAGAGCACTACAAAGAATCTTAGGGCACTACAAGGAATCTTAGAGCACTACAAGGAATCTTAGGACGCTACAAGGAATCTTAGGGCACTACAAGGAATCTTAGGACACTACAAGGGATGATTGGGATGTATGGGTTCTACAAGGCGAATTTGGGCCCTAAACTGAATGCTTGTGCACTACAAGGGATGTTTGACCACTATTCCGAACATCTGGGCACTTCCGTCAGTATCTGGGCACTTCCTATACTGAGTGCCTTGGCGAGGTATTGAGTCTTGGCGCGCTGCAGTGAATGTCGTGGCACTGCACTGAACTTCGGAGCACTGCACTGAATGTACGGGCACTGCATTGAGTTTCACGGCACTGCATTGAGTGTGTAGGCATGTCAATAAAGTAAATGCTTTGAGTATTTCCATAAATGTTTGCACACTTCAAGACTAAGTTTTGTCGCTTCAGTAAATGGCTGGTCGGTTCAGTAAATGGCTGGTCACTTCAATAAATGTCTGGTCGCTTCAGTATATAAATGTCTGGCCGTTTCAATAAATGCTTGGCCACTGGTATTTCATTATAACTCCTTTTTCGACTTGGTTTATTTCGCCCAGAGACTTTATGGTCGTGTTAAGGACAACGTAGATAATACACAAGATTACTACATGTACAGTATCTGAAGGACCTGTTCTTCTGCCCAACTGAAATCAATAATGGCTATAGAACCTTTCCCGTTGTCAGAGGTTCAATGTACTCGCATCACTTCCTAAAGTTCTAAGAGGTGCAGTGTACTCTGAATAAAACCTTGTGATCCTGGAATGTTCATTGTACTCCGATTATGGCAGATACGAATTATGTTGTATGAAGCTTCTGTTGATGACATGTTATGACATTATAGAAGCCGACCACTATGTGGGAGAATAGTCATCAATGAAGGTTCCATATCCCATACCATTATGAATATCGTCTTACTGATGGGACACATAGAAACAATACTATGACTGGAATAATACAAAAATAACCCGCACATGGGAGAAAGAAACTTATAACGACGATTCGGTCCGACTTGGACCATTTACTAAGTCTCAGTATGACTAGTATATGGTCCAAGTCGGACCATATACTCGTCGCTGGTTACTTGTGTATCCTGATAGACTCTGTGTTCTCACATCTTCCACTTAACAGTCCTTAGTGCTTCAGGATCCCTTGGGTCATCTTCTCCTTAGCTATTCCAAAACTTTACGCTAAGTCCCTTTGTTATTTTCCCCCTCACCCCGATCCTAAGAGGTTCGGGGCGCCCTCAGCATCTTCCTCGTTAAGACCCTCGGAGGTTTACCGAAATAAGTCATTCTCTAAAATTCTAAGAATTACTGTGCTTGTTCGAGCTTCTCCCTAAAAAAATATGAGAAATTTATACGGGTCGTAATTTTTCTCTCTCTCCATTTTGCGTTGTTCGTTAACTCCACCTAAATTAATTATTTGAGCGACCTCGAGTAAACTTGTGGAATAAAATCGGCGAGTTTAGAGAAAGTAAAGTTGCCAGTGTCAGCGGAGGTAGAGCAACAAGAATAGTATAATAAGCAAATATATTTGTTTCATTTCCCTTGAATTTCAAGTCGTAACCATAAGTTTCGAAGTTAAAAAAAAAATATATAATACTTTATGGAAACATTATTGGAACCAAGCTCGTTTCACAATGAAAAATAAGCCACTTTCCAGTTGTGGTACTTAGGGAAAGACCCGCACGTAACCATGACGGGAGATTGCTTATTAGAGAAAGTTTATGTTTTATAAATTTCGCATATTTTTTAATTTGTGTTTGTTTATGTCGGCAGAGGCTCGGGCCAACATCCTGGGAAAGGAGACCATGTACGTGCAGAAGGGGAGTACCGTCAGCCTCGAGTGTGTCATCAAGGAGGAGCTGGTCATCCCTGGTGAGTTATCTCTGTGATGTGTATACATTAGTATGTCTTCAAGGAGCTGGTCATGCCTGGTGAGTTTCCCTGTGTTGTGTATGTACCAGTGTAACATATAGGAACTGGTCATGCCTGGTGAGTATCCCTGTGCTGTGTGTGTACCAATATATCTAGGAGCTGGTCATGCCTGGTGAGTATCCCTGTGTTTGTGTGCATCTAGGAGCTGGTCATGCCTGGTGAGTATCCCTTTTTGTGTGTGTACCAATGTATCATCTAGGGGCTGGTCATGCCTGGTGAGTATCCCTGTGCTGTGTGTGTACCAATATATCTAGGAGCTGTTCATGCCTGGTGAGTATCCCTGTGTTTGTGTTCATGTGCCTTCAAGGAGCTGGTCATCCTTGAGATGTCCCTCTTGAGTGCATACTAGTGTCACTGAAATAGACCTGGTCAACGTTGTGCTGTGTGTATTTAATTGAGTTATCAAATAGGAGCTGCTGGTCCTTCCTGGCGAGCTGTGTGTGTCGTGTTGTGATGTGTGCCGATGTTCGGTTGCGTTTAGTAGTGTCTAGTGGTGTTAACTGGCATTTTGGGTTATTCAGTGGTGTTTGTTGGTATGTGGTAGTATTTAGTGGTGTGTGTGTTGGCATATGGCAGTATTTAGTGGTGTGTGTTGGTATGTGGTAGTATTTAGTGGTGTGTGTGGGCATGTTGTAGTATACAGTGGCATGTGGTAGAGTCTAGTGGAATGTGGAAACTTCAGTTACCGGAGGACACTGGTCAGGAAAGGTGTGTCCTGAGCTGTATGGTTTAAACGGGGCAACGTTGATGGTGATACAGTTTGTTAACATGACTGATTCAATAATCGTTGGAGAACTTGCTGTATATACTTCAATGCCACAAGCGACTCTTCTTTCTCCCGCTTATATGCATATAAGAGATTTTGCAAAGGCGTTTGACAAATGCAATCATGGGGTGACTCCGTACAAAATGAGGGCCATAGACATTACTGGGAAAGTAGGCAGATGGATTTTCGGGTTCTTAACACACCCACAAATACAAAAAAGTAGTTATCGGAGCAAAATCCAGCATTAGCGAGGTAAAAAAAGCTCAGTTCCGGAAGGCACTATGCTGGCACCTCTTCTGTTTCTTATCCTTATAGCAGACATATAAAAACACCGGGCACAGTTTTTTATCATTTGTAGTTGACACTAAAATAAGCACGAGTCACTTCGGGACAAGATACTGAAAAATTACAGGAAGATATAAGCAGTGTTTTCCAGTGGGCAATGGAGAACAACATGACGATAAGTGGTGATAAGTTCCAGCTGCTTAGATACGGAAAGAATGAAGAACGCAAATTGAATACTGTATACAGAATCACCACCGCATTGTCTGGCGGTGTGTGGTGGTTGTTAGTGTCTAGTAGCGTGTTGCCGATGCTAGTGTAGATGCGTGAGACAGTCTCTAGTGGCGTAAAGGGATGTTTGGTGGCGTTTGCTCGCGTTGTGTGGGATAGCGTGTGATTTGCGTTATGGCGTGGGCTTGTGCATGATAACGTGTGTTTGTACGTGATGGCGTGTGGCAATGTCTGGTGGCGTGTGGTAAATGTTATTGTCCTGTGTCTTTACACGAGAAAGGTCCACATAATCGTGAAGAAATATAATCTGTTCAACAGTGATCAAAATTAAAATGACGAATTAGACACAAGATTATATACTGAGACACTGGTCTTAGTAACCGAGCCGGCTTGCTGATTCTAGTGGCTAATCTCTTACCATAGTGGCTAATCTTTTACTAAAATGGCTAATCTTTTACTACAGTGGCTAATCTCTTATTACAGTGGCTAATCTCGTACCACAGTGGCTAATCTCGTACCACAGTGGCTAATCTCTTACCACAGTGATTAATCTATTGCTACAATGGCTAATCTTTTAATATAGTGGCTAATCTCTTGTTATAGTGGCTAATCTCTTACCACAGTGGCTAATCTCTTGCTACAGTGGCTAATCTCTCACTATATTGATTAATCTCTTACCACAGTGGATAATCTCTCACTACATTGATTAATCTCTTACCACAGTGGCTAATCTCTTACTATTGCAACATCTTAGTTTCATATTGCAGTATTATTTAAATCCCAGGGTTTTCCTTGGTTTACACACTTAAAGGTTTGCAACATTATGCAGTGTAGTCTTCATGTGAGTGTTGTTTACAGGAGTCTACAGTGTAATGCAGTAGTCTGGCCACGTTACCGAGCTTGATTAGTTTAAATATTAATTTGTATTTGTATACACATTCGGATGTGCATCTTAGACCTGTGTTTTTTTTATGTGTGTGTGTGTGTAGCCCCTTCCCTCCATCCCTACTTTTGAAATAGTTCGTTCACCAGTGTATTCCAATAATGTTCAGACACTTAAGAATTCTCAAAATGAACCAAAGACTAAAGCGCACTGTTTTGGTGCGCTTATATTGATGAAGATAGAGATTGATAGGGGTCACATGATACAACTGATTGAGGCCTACTTGATATTATTGGCATACCTTAGAGAAAGCCGCTGGTTATACTCGCTGCAAAGTGAACAGTTGCGGTAGGTGTAAGGAAACTTACCCAACGTTCCACCTGTGTCGGGGATCCATTACGGACCATCGATATGTGCGTTGAAGACGTTCGATTAAGGCCCTCCACTTGTCTTTCTGTTATACACAAATCTTCCACTGTAATTCACTTCTGCTCTACTGTTTCTAAGTGGATGCTGTCCCCTGAGAAGCTACCACGAAGTTTTTTTAAATAGATTCTTGTGTTTATGTACAGGACTGGTGTTGTGGTACCAGGATGACAGGCTGGTGGACCGCGACTCAGGCAGGGTCGAAGTTGTGACCAATATCGGAAACGTCACAACCAGTACCCTGAAGGTAGCCGGGGCAGCACTCCATGACTCGGGAAACTATTCCTGCTGGCCTTCTGCAGGGCGCCCAGACAGCGTCATCGTCCATGTCATACAAGGTAGATATAAAGTTGTGACGTATTACTGTTATGGTAAGAAGGCCAGGAACCTTTCAGAGTCAGAATTTTTGTTGTCTCAGTAGTGTCCGGCTAACCTCGTTGCATAACTGTGTGTACGTTAACCGCTGATGCTGTTACTCAAGGTACGAACGTGTGTGCGTACGTACGTTCGTACGTATGCATGCGTACGTATGTGCGCTCGTACATACGCAGTTTTGTTTTCGTTTTGCCTTCCTTAATTTTTGGCAGTAAGATGATTCTTATATTTGTGTAGAGCACTGAAATAATGAAGAGTTATTCAACACAAGAATTGATACCCTCTTAGTTAAGCGGAACAAATATTCGACCTATGCAGCTGACTTGGTCTGCCAGAGGAAGAGCACTCTGCTTGTAGGTTAATTATTCTGTACTAGTAAAAGGTAGATGCAATTCTTTCTACAGGCGATCCACCAGCGGCCATGCATCACGGTAACTCTGCTAGCTGGGTGCGCACTTCCATGCTGGAACCAGCAGCCTCCCTCATCCTGTTGCTGCTGCTGACGTGACGCTGACTCGTCAGCATCTCATGGAGGCGGTTACGCATAGCCTTCACTCTCGTCACTGCTGCTGCTGGTACTACTGACGTGATGCTGAATTGTCAGCACCGTGTAGAGGCGGCCAGGCCACAGCCTTCACTTCCACCGCTGCCTATGACCATCCTTGTCTCACTCACCTTCAGTTGTTGTACGTGTTGATGAATCAGCGGTGTCTGCCCTATGTGTATTATTTACCTCTATATATATATACCGATATACTTTTCTTTCTAAACAGTAAGAAGTAAGATTTGCTACCATGAGTGATAAATTTTCGTTAAATCAGATTATAGACAAAATGTTTTGTTATTGTTATAAATATCTGCACATAGTTCGCGCTTTAGAAAGCTGATTAAAAATTTTTACTTAACACCCAAATTTCCTCGAACATTTGTGGCAGGTGTTTAAGAGCGGGAACAGAGGTTTCCTGGCAGACACACCAGCGCTTAAAAACTTTCTGGTCAAACAGTTCTTTAATATGTGCAACATTTCTAAAGATGCATTAATTAAGCAGAAAATATTTCAGTGATGTGTGTTTATTGGGCGGTGTTGTTGTTGCTGTTCTTCTTGCAAAATCTTCATCATTTAACGTATGACTTCTTAAATGATAGTTACAAACGCTAGCAAAGCCTCCGAAAGCAGTTCATACATTCACAAGTAGTACTGCTCATACGGTGAATGTTAGTCACTGATGTTAACTGCCAGAGATGACTGACCCATCAGCTGGACACTGTTGACGGTGTGGGTAGCAGTGATGCCAGACACAAGTCTGTCACGGGAAAACTCAATCTTTCGTTTAGATCAAAACAATATCAAATATTTATTCTTTACTTCAATCAGTATTAACATCTACCAATTAATTTTAATGCACTTTTATAATAATTGTTGAGTATAAGCCACGTAATCGTGATGAGAACACTTATAAACAAACCCATAAACTGGCAATAAGAGAATTAGTATTTCTCTTATTCGCTTCTAGATGATGATTAAAATTGACCAAAATATTGTTCAGTTTTCATTTACATTAGAGTGGGTTAGTTGTGAAAAAAAAATCAATTTATTTTGACGAATAATCTGCTACTGACTTGCTCAGCTTCACGGTACACATTTATTTATATACCTTGACCAAGACTGGTGGTGAGAGGCGGCTAGCAGGTATCTTCAGCATCCCGACAGTAAAGCAAAATAAATTTTAATTTGACACTCGAAAACTCATTATAAAATCCCTTGTCACCTGAAAAGTGTGTGTGTTTGTGTCTGCTAATCCGATTCATTGCGTCTTTGTATATTTTTCTGACTAACAAATAGGTGTAATGTCACTGGTTGTTGGATATTAGGTACAGATTTTTAAAGGGGGGGGGACCATTTAAGCTCAACGGTAATGCTGTGAAAATTAAATATATGGTGATGAAGAATGTAGTTAGATGTCATGAATATTTCATTAAAAATACCTGCAAAATGTACATTCTGTGCAATGAGATGTGAATTTTGTATTATATTTTCATGATATGTTTGCAAAATAGCTGTTTGCAGTTGACATATAAGAGGAGATAACATGTGGATCTCCATTACATTATGATTTTTGTATTACCTAAGAGGCATGCATTTTAGTAACCTCAAACATATGAGACGTAACTGGCTTGGATACATAAGCCATGGCAGCTTGTCTGAATGTAAAAGACATTATGGCTGACCCGGACACAAATGACATTAGGTCTGTCCTCGATAAAAAAATCATTATAGCTGCCCTATTAGATCAGACCTATTCACAAGCGATTATGCCTTGTCTGGACAGAAAAGACATGACTTACCTGGACACAAGACTATGAACACACAGGACTCAGTGAGACAAAGAAAGACAAGCACAATCAACATATATTTTAGGAGACATTTCGTCACTAGTGGATCATAACACAGAGAATCAACTGTCACAGACGAGTTGATCTAGACTTCATACGAAGTGAGAAGGGCTCGATAGAGAGTAGAACCTGCGTAGCATGAGAGAGAGTAAACGTTCTGCACTGCTCCTTCCTTTTGGCGAGAATTCTGGAGATGATAAAGCTCTGAATTTTGAATACGGTAGAAAATGAAATCGTTTAGATTTTCAGGCGCCTACGTCTACGAGCATCACTCATTTTGACGAGTAGTTCTGCTCACTCCTTCATGATGTGACCCTGCGTGCAATGATGGACACATGCGTCGCTCACATCACGGCTGCAGGCATGTCTAACACGTTGGTCATCGATCCTGGCTGTATCATCAGTCCAGACCTCGCGTCCCAGCAAGGGATCTTAATAAAGACTGGCACTGGCTTCTACTGTGCTGGCTGATTTTTGTTTAACCAGGTCCTTGATGGTCGCTAAGGAACTGGTTGCTACTTCCATATGGCTGCCTGTATTCGCTTGAGAAATATTGCTGGCCACACTACTGAAGCAACAGACTAAGTGGAAGTTCTCTAATGCTTGATGTCACTGCTATGCTTAATGATAAAGACAGTATGACTTCTACAGAGATGTAGTTTGGCAGGAACTGTAGGTTTTCGAAAACGCCTCCGATATACTCGCTTTCCATCCAAATGGATTGGAGTGAATAAAGGCATCCTTACTCTAATGTAGTCTGTTTCTGTTGCCACCTTTTAGTAGAACATTAGGAAATGTAGTTGTCAGTATCTCTGTCTGTCTGTCTGTCTGTCTGTCTGTCTGTCTGTCTTTCTCTCTCTCTCTCTCTCTCTCTCTCTCTCTCTCTCTCTCTCTCTCTCTCTCTCTCTCTCTCTCTCTCTCTCTCTCTCTAACGTGAATTTAATGGTCGGATCGATATTGTTGATGGTGCTGAAGACGTCCAGTATATTGTGTTGGTGAGGGTGACCAGTATGTCGTCAACATTGTATTTGGTGTAGCAGGAATAATGTAGATGAACTCGAGACACTAAATATTGAATGATATAAACCTTGGTAAATGAGGCCAACAAATTGGTTCAAAAAGACACGCTAGCAAACACTTGGACTTATTTATTAGAAAACGTTTCTGTCCTAGGACCAAAACGTTTTCTAATAAACATGTTCTAGAGTTTTCTCACGCGTCTTTTTAAATCACTCCGTATAGAGGTTCGTCAACACAGACTAATAGTGTAGCCCATGGCCATCTCAAAAGATCATTTTTACCATATCTGAAGCAGTTGTAATTCGGGCAAAGCTCCACAAAGTTCACAAAATCTTGGCCGAGTACTAAAAAAGTCCAATGTGTTCCTGACTGAGCTGCAGAGAATGGCTAGTATGGTCAGCATGTTTGTGAAGAATGTAACATCAAAATTGGCAAGGTTTATATTCTTGACGTCCTTACCTTTGACAATTGTTTGAAGTGTGTCTGGGTTCCTGTTAGATTTTGTTGGGTACTGCCAGTGTCTAATGTGATGTTTGTAATAGGGATGTTGGACTTGTGGGGTTGAGGCAGCCCATAAAGCCTGGCTAGCCGAGGATTGCTGGATGAGTGATGTTAATCAATCTTGCCCTATTCAGATTTTAGGTATATTCTACATGCCGTGGTAATAACGTGCTCACTTCTATACACTAATGTTCCTCAATGGATTTATAAAGTAATACTTCCAAAGAGACAATAGATCTCTATGCATTCTTCTGTGTTGTGGATTACTACTCCGACCTTAGGTCAGCTGTGGTTACGACAGTATTATTGTTTCTGGCAAGGTTCCTGAGAGCAGGGAAGAAATGACTAAAATTAAGTGATAATTGGATTCAGTGTGGCTGAATTTAATCTTTCTAGAACTAGAAAATCCCCTAAACAGTGATTTCTGACGATAGTATTACGATTGTTTGAATTTATATACCCTTCCTTGCTAGCCGCAAGAAGTTCTACATAGGAAAAACAATGCGGACCACAGACCACAATGTATCTACACGTATTCCTGCAACCTTGGCATGATTGTGTGTCTAACCTCGTAGCACACAGGAGCTGAGCCGAGTGATTTGCTTACACAATACACATCAGTACCTGAAAGTGTCAATGATTTCAATTTTAAACAGTATCACACAAAACTCAGAGAGCTCTAGCACCTGCAGAATTCTATACAAAATGATCCTGCATGATGAAAACACTACAAACAGGTGTAGATGCGTAAGACTGGAGTATTGCAATAAGCCTACTAACCAAGGTTAGGTAGATCTTACAACATAGAACCCTTCTCACTAACCATACGGCCCCGTCAACTTGACTCCGACAAGAGATATCAGTGTTTTTGGGCTGTACCAGACCTCTCTGCTATACATTCTGTTTTAGCCGTCTCTATATTAGGAATGAGATATCCACTAGTAGCAAAACCGTCTCATTAAAAAAATATACTGATGTGCATGTGTCTAATTCCCATAATACATGGGCCAGTATTTGCACAAACGAGTCAGCACTAATAACAGGCGTAAATATATCCCACAACTAAATTATTCTTCAGTACAAGGCTACTTTTACAGAATTTATTTTATGTAAATATTTACTTGTGTGAGCTTACATGCCTTTTTGTGTGTAATACAGGTACACACAAACACGTGTATGTATTACTATATGCTCCAGGAAGAAACTGAGTTTTCCCTGATGTACGTTTATGCTCTTCTCTGAGGCTGTGGGTCCTTAGTTCTAAACACACAGATACAACCTCAAGAGCTTTTAGTAACTCCACACTACCTCCTAATCTCCAGTCTCCGGATTCTCTCCATAATATTCTTACCCCACATTGTTTACCAACACGTCATCTCCACTGCCTCCAGCCTTCTTGCTTCAAACATTCAAAACCCATTCTTCACACCCATACTACAGTGTTGGTATTACTATACTCTGGTACTTTTTTTATTTTGCCTCCAGGGAAAAAGTTCTCTCTCTTCACAGTGCTTCAGAGAATCACTTTTATTCTGTCTTCCCATTATTTCCAAGGTTCACCTCTCTTAAAACCATCTGCCGTCTTGTCTTCTCCTAAATATATATTTGGGAGAAGACAAAACTGATGTATATCCGAACTCATTTACTTCCTCCATTCTCCCTCCTTCCAATCTAATATCCAATCTCTCATTGTCCTTTTTCTATACTCTTATCACCTTGCTTCTTCCTATGTTTACTTTTAATTTACTTCTTTCATATATCATTCCAAATTCATTTGCGATCCCTTGCAATTTTCCTTCTGAATCCCCTCATACAACCATGTCATCGGCAAAAAATAACCGACAATTCCCAGTCCATATAACATTCATTGTCTCTCAGTCCAACATCTTTTCATAAAATCTTAGCTTTCACTTGATAGTGATAGTGACATTGCACATCACTGTTTAAGGCCCACTTATAGGGAAATCTCTCTTTCTCTCTCTCTCTCCTCTCTCTCTCTCTCTCTCTCTCTCTCTCTCTCTCTCTCTCTCTCTCTCTCTCTCTTCTCTCCTTCTCTCCCCTCTCTCTCTCTTCCCTGCATACCTTAATCTGCGTCTCGCTGTCCACATGAACGCTCTTTACTGCTTTAAGTAATCTGTCATATATTCCATATATTTTGCAAATTCTGCAAATTGCACCCCTATCCACACTGTCATAGGCTTTTAATAAATTCATAAATGCAATGAAAAGGCCCTTACACTTAGATGCTTCAATGTAGATACGGTCTATACATCTACCATTCCTAAAGCTTCATTGTACCTCAACTATCTGTGTTACATATATTTTTTTTCAATAATTATTCTACCTTAGATTTTACCCAGTATACACAAAAGGCTTATTTCCCTGTAATTCTTACACCCTCTCTAATTCCCACCTTTTCCCTTATATTAAGGAACTATGTTTGTTCTCTGGTAATCCCTATGTACCTTCACCCCCTTCTATGCATACAATGAATAAATACATCATTCACTAAAATTGTATCTCCACCTGCTTTTAACATTTCTGTTTTAATCCCATTTATCCAATTTGCTCTTCTCTCAATATGTGCACTGCCTCACGAACCTCCCTCATTCACATCTGGGTGTTCCTCACTCCTAAAAGATATTTACCACAATATTCATTAGACAGCTGATTCCATCACACACAAATTACACAAACTACAAACGAAAAATCACAAAATTAGCTCTGATTGCCACTACGCCTGTTTATGTCTCACAGGGACAAGAGAAATCAAACACTATTTCATAATTAAACTTTAAGAAGTGCACTAATCCTGATTCAAAACGCCAGAATCAGATTTGGAATAACATAGTACAGTAAAACTACTTGCACAAGTTGGAGTTTGGTTCCAGTCACTTGCTTCCTGAACTGACGTCCCACTCACTCTCTTCCTGCCTTGAAACACTATACTCACTTCCACACCTGAGGGGGCGCACTCTCCCTATATAAACAAGTTCCCATTTCACTTTTTTTGCATCTGCTGAAGAGGACTCCAATTGGGGTAGAAACATATACGTCACTTTACTTTCCGTTTTTCTGTCTCTGTGTGGGTTTTATATATATATATATTATATATATATATATATATATATATATATATATATATATATATATATATATATATATATATATATATATATATATATATATATATATAAACTTTTAAATGGTGTGGGATATATTTTTAATGTACTGTCTTCAAAATGATTATCAATTATATGAATATTTTCAAATAAAGACTGAATGTACGTCAGTATTTTATTTAAGCCTTTAGTAACAACCGTTATACTCCTGGATATTTGTTGCTTTGCTCCCAGTTCTTGTTGGTTTAGTTAAAACTGGTATTAGCAAGCAATTGTATACATGTTAAGGATGAGGGTTTTGAGGGGCGTTGCCCCTCAGAACCCTCTCCAGATATACTCCTGGGATGAGGGGACCTCAGCTTGAACGAGGTTAATATTGCAGCTTCCACAAAGTATTAGATATTTGCTAAAAGACTTGATTACTTAAACTGCAATTGGAGTCTTTGATTATTATTATTACCATAACTAAGCGTTTAACCCAATGAAGTCATTAAAGTTTTTATTACAAACTTGGCAAAGAAATATTCACCATGTTCATCCCTGGTACATGTATATTTTCAGCATATTAATAGTAGTAGATAACAGTACTTCTTTCCATTAGACCAGTCATGTAGTTATGAATGACTGCGTACCCAGGTAAGGTAAAGATGTCATTCGTATCATGTTTAAGCCAGATTTCATTAAGAATGGTAAGGGATCATCATGGATCTAATGTTCTAACTGAATACTGACATATGCTAAGCATTTCTGAGAACAAACTAATGCTTGTTTGGCTGTGTAGTAGACAGCTGTTCCACAGAAATACTGATGATCACTGCGCTACGACAGGAGATTTAAATCGGGTTCATTATCAAAATTCATGAACTAAGAAGCAGGATATGTAAAAGAACGAGGTAGAGATATTAACAATTAAACGATAGTTATGTTATAAGACGTGGAGAGAGATACAGTATAATGTAATTAGCCGGCTTAACTATTATCAACAAAATCAGTAATAAAACCGGAGACAATAAAATGGTATAAAATCAGTTATGAAAATACAATATTCAAAATACAATGTTCACAAGTACAAGTCATGAGTTACATTGTTACTTTAAGTAACCTAAGAAAATACAATGTAATCTTCTATACAGTACTGAAAAGATCAAAATATAACAGTGAATGGTTAAAATAAATATAAAAATAAAAGTTGTAGTCGGATAAACAAAAGATCATACTATAATAGGATTAATATTTGAACTATTAATTACGCAGTATAATATTATAGAGAATATTAGAGGAACTTTTACATATAAAAAGTATAAACTTTATATACAAAGTATAAAAGTTTACCAATAAAATAGTACACTAACGTATGAAGATAACAAAGGTTGAAGAAAATATATAGAAAAAACTAGAATACGATTTACATTATTGATTGAATTGTAAACTTCAATTACATAAAACAGAGAAACTGTAGAATGTGAGGTGAAGACGCAAGATAACCAGGATTGATTGACAGAACAAGAGAAATCGACACCATGCCCAGCCCTTCTAGGGTTAGGGTAGGTGCCTGAGCCCGAGCTTTCAGCTCACAAGACTGTCATTCCCATCAGCCCCCTTGGGGCGGGGATATCAGACTAGAGAGGCCTAGCTTGTGGCTAGGCCTGGGGACAGTTGGTCTCAAAGATGAGGAGGTACTTGCGCCTCCTCCCATGGGAGACTTAGGTCTCAGACACTCCCTAAAGAGGGAGCCAAGGCCGGGCCACCACTTGGAAAAGGCCCGGGCCGGGAGAATACCGGCTAATCTTTAATAATAATAATAAAGAACAAAAGAATGTAAATATAACAAGAGTAGGACTGGCGTTGTTAACTGTTCAGATTCTGAAGACACTGCAATGAGGCAGAGAATGCTTAGCAGTGTGTGTGTGAACAGTCGTGGGTATGTACTGTGGACTGTTCAGTCTCAGACAGGTTTGTGTTGCTAAGGCATCTAGCTAGTTCATGTTCAATTGCTAGTTCATGTTCAATTGCTATTTGATGTGAGCGGAACCTGGTTGATTTTACCCCTACGGACGATGCGTTAAGATAAGATAGATTATATTTTGTTCGGAGCTTTAACCCAGAAGGGTAAGCCACTCAGAATAACCCAGGAAAGTCGATGCTTCATCGAGGACTGTCTGTCTTATTTCCATTGGGGTCCTCCAGTCTTGTCCCCCAGGATGCGATTCACACCAGTCGACTAACACCCAGGTACCTACTTGTTTGCTGGTGAACGTGGATAGCAAGTGTAAGGAAACACGCCCAGTGTTTTCACTCATGCCGGGGATCGAACCACGGACACTCAGTGTGTAAGGCAAGAGTGTTGCTTTATGCTGTCCTTATCTTCTCGTCTGAGTTTCTTTTAATGTCACTCGAGAAATATGGACAGTGGGTCCAGGCAACACTTCCAGTCCAAATAGGAGGTACTGGTGTTCTCAAGGCCTCACAGACTGCACTCCCTGCTTTCCTGTCCTCTTGTGTGGCGTCCAGTCAACTTGTAACACCAAGTCTCCTTGGACACCTTAGGAACAATGTTGGAGTACCTGACCAAAAGTTTATTGACAGAACAAGGTTCTGGGATAATCTAACAGGCATCGCAACCATAACAGATTCCCACTTTTCTAGCAAATACAGTTATACTGGGATGCGCCAATAGTGGAAAATATAGGAAGGAAGGACGGAACTCTTCTTCAAGCAGTAAGAGCTCCTCATTCTGAGAATTTTCTTTCGGCTATCCCCAATTCCTCCCTAGGCACACTCTTCGACCTGTAAATCATCTGCTCTGGTGTAGACCTCCACCTTGTCGCCCATATCCTCGCCAAACACAGGTGAATCGGCACACCGAGACGGGCGTCACAGTCTTGTTTGCAACGGATCAGAAGGAAAGAGTGCAAGACATGAAGTTAATAATATCAAGAGGAGCCGTGCAACAACCGGATGTCCAGCAATAAGGGAGCCACCTCAGTTCAGCAGATGTAATGGCTGAAGGGGACTAAAGGACGTTAATCATTCATGTTTTATTCAACATTATTTATTAGTGACATCCAGTACCAGCAGCATCTCCATTTCGTTCAATTTTGACTAGTGTCCTCGCATGTCCTGTCATCCTAAACTTTTGTTCAAACTCTCTACGTCTTTTCTCATTAATCATTAATTCGTGTCTATTCTTACGTATTATTTTTGTTATAAATCATTGCTTAAGATGCTCATTGTATATTATTTATTGTACTGGACGCAGCAGCAACATCAGTATAAGATATTAGATCACATTTACTGACGTGATTTAACCCATACGATTTAGTCTTCTACGTCGTCTTGCACCAAATAAATTTAGAAGATATTTAAATTGTAATTTATCAAAGGCCTCAATTTGAGGTCGATTATAATGTTATAATCATGGGGAGCGCTAACCCGTATGATTATACAGTGCACTGGGGGGGGGAGGGAATGGAAGGTATTCAGACTCAATTCAGGGAACCGGAGCACAGATCCAATTCCCTAAATCAAGAGCCCCTCACCAGCGTCAAGGAACCTCTCTTGAGGGGAATGTGAGGTCGAAATGCACAGAACTCATCCTTTTCTGAACATTTGGGTTCGATTGTGCTATTGACTAGTGTTTATTACGAATTTTGAAGTGAATTTATTTATAAATTATTAACCTTCGCTAATAGCCTTGGCTATTTTACAAGCATTTTAAACATAATTCTCCAAGATATTCAGTAAGGATTTAGCAGGTCCACCTTCCTGCTGGAGAGGTGGGAAGTAGAGACTTGGGAAACTTGTAATATATCAAGTGTAGACGCTTTTCCCTGCACCAAATCTTAATATATGTGGC